TTTATTATTATAACATACTGATTAATGTTACTTATTCATAAAATATCCACAATCAGTTTTTGATCTTAAAAAAATGTTAGTAAAGCCATAGTCTCTTAAAAAATAATTGTCTGGGATGATATGTAGATCTTTCTAAACCTTTCATAGTCTTAAAACCAACTAAAAAATGATCAAATGACCAGTAAGGCTTTATTAAATAGTAAATGTGAGTGTGCATGGGTGTTGCTTCACACTGACATGTAAGCGATAATGTAACTCTAAAGCAAGACTTCATAATGGAAATTTCAGTTATGACTTTTATCCTAATGCCATGATCCAGTGAAAAAACATTTGACATAAAATAATATTTTTAAGAGCATGAGCTATAAATAACAATCTGGAGGATTCTCACCTTTGCTTCTATCAAAGGAGATTTAAATAAAGCATTAAATCCTCCAAGAATCATTTTAGAGTTGGTTGTTTTAAAACTTACTTATTATAAAAGTGGCGGTCATACATTTTGAGGGGAATCTTTGAATACAGAACCTCAAGACATTTAAGAGGTTCTTTATTCTATATTTCTACACTACATAAAACTACTCTTGACAGATGAGAATTTAGTCCACTTGAAATTAGCACCAAAGAAATCAATCCACTATTATCCCACACAATAATCAATTGCACTTAAATCCCTAGAATTTCATTTTTTTTGTGTATGTGTATCCCAAGTATGTTCCATTTAATCTATTTTGGCCTTAACCAAAAAGAATTTTTTAAAAAAAGGCACTTATCGGTGTTAAAACTAGTCATAGATATTAATGGTGATGTAAAATTTTCTTTTAAGAATTTGTTCCTTGTAGACTGATTTTAGCTCACTTTTTCATGCTTAATTGCTATGATATTTTCTTATATCACAAACTATATTCTTGATAGTACCAAAGCCATGGGACTTCCCTCAAGAGGTTACTCGTTACCACAAAACTCTTTCACAGCCAACTCATATTTCTGACCTCATAAGTTTTTGTCTCACTTGGCCCATCATTCCAGGTCTCTCAGTAGATAGATTGATGATAGATATTCATTTGATAAAACACAGTTTTATTTAAGCAAGCATCCATTATTGAAATTTACTATGATTATACTAATTGCATAGAAATTCATTTTCAGGATTCTACAACCAAGGACCAACATGTACACTACAAGTGCTTGGGGGCATCATTGTACTTAGGCTGTTTCTTTCCATTTAAAATAACCCAGGATTTATCAACCGTGTCACACTAACAGTATACCTGAGAGTGAGTCAAATAAAGTTTGAAACCGGAATTGATTACGAAGATCTGGTTTTTGTATATAAATTTAAATAAATAAGTATTCACATTCACTCATGCATTCATTTATTCATTTATTTTCATTGAGTACTTCTTAAAGTGCCATCCTGATGATACTATGATGTGCCACTGCATCCATCAGGCCCTCTATACCATCTGACCTGGAAAGACTCCTTGGTATCTCTGAATCTCAGCTTCCATGGTGAAGTTGCTTTTGTTGTAAATGATTTCATATTTAAGAGGAAAATAATTCATTGTAATGATCTCCCAAATCTGTGTGATTCTGATAGAACATCTGGAAAATGTGCAATAGCATTAGCTACACTTCTGGCGTAATCCCATATTACCACAGAAAGGCAAATTAAACACCCCCAAATCTAAGATACTAAAGACCTCAAATTCTAGATATCCAATGGCTTTGAGATTTATGTAGAAAATGACATGAGAATAAAGATTTTTCTTTTTGAAAGAATAAGAGAAAAATAGACTCAAGTATCTTACTACTAAAACCTCTAAAATCTTTATTTTTTATAACTCATTTTATGTGAGTCTAAAGATAACTGGATTCAAGATTTCAAATTTGTGCAAACCTGGGGTTTCAACGAGGAGCGTGCTTAAACAAACAAGCATGTGGCTATTTGTCAATCAAAACAACCCAAATTGTTTTTAGTATTTTATCACAAACATTTTCCAACATAGAGCCTAGTTTAAGAATTTTACAGTGAACACATTGTATATATATTCATCACCATTCATATTTTATTTTACTATTTTTGCTTTACCACATATTAATATATCTCCTTATCTTTCCATCAATTTACCTTATAATTTTTTTTAAAGATTCTATTTATTTATTTGAAAAAAGAGAGAATGTGGGGAGAGGGGCCTAAGGAAGAGGGAAAAGTGGACTCTGCACTGAGTAGGGTGCCCAGTGCTCAGCCGGATGCCAGGACTCCAAGATCATGACCTGAACCGAAGGCAGACAGACTCTCAACCCACGGAGCCAGCCAGGTGCCACTACCTTATAATTTATAAATATCAAAGTGTAAGTAACCTCCACCCCCACTACATACCTTAGCATAGATACCATTAACTGGAAATCATGAAAATCTAGGTTTTTTTTTTCCTTTTAATGTAAAATGTGCAAACAATGAAATGCACAATTTCACTGAGTTTGTCAAACATTCACCTGTATATTCTCAAGTCCTTATTAAGATATAAAATATTACTATCAATTAGAAAAGCACCTCATGCTCCTTCCTACATAGTCCCTCTCTTATTCCACAGAGGCAAAATATATTTTATTTCAATATATTTTACCATTGGTTAGTCTTGCTGATTTTAGAGTCATATCTTTTGAGTCATACTATAGTAGGTAGTCATTGTGAATAGATTCTTTCACTCAATATTTTGTTTCAAAGAATTACCCATGGTTTTGTACAAGTCATTGTTTCATTCTTTTGTATTCCTGAGTATTATTCAATTTTATGAATATACTACTGTTTGTATATTCACTTCCCTATGGAGGGTCACCGGGGCTCCCTCTAGTTTCTGGCGATCATAAGTAAAACTGCCACAGACATCTATGCATAAGGCTTTTTCCATCCACATATTTTCATTTCTCGAGGGTAAACACTTAGAAGTGTTGGGTGAAAGGAGAAGAAATGTTTCCTTCTCTACACAAACTAAAGGAAAATATCTTTCTTTTGTCTCTATTCCTAGTCACGCCAACACTTCTGACACCAGCTATATTTTTTTTTTCCCTTGAATTTAGCAATTCCATAACTCACTGAATACAAATCGGGTGTCCCACAATTCAATTTGTTTCTGACATTCTCTCCTTGGAGTCTGTATCAGATCCCATGAGTTAAGGCCTCAGTCTCACAAGATCCTCTCTCCTCCCAGTTTTAGATCCCAGTCTGGTATCACCTGTGCCCCTGAATGTCTGGCAATACGTTCTCATGACTCTCTTCTCAGGTTAAATAATGTGCTAGATCGGCTCACAGTGCTCAGAAAAACAACTTACTAGGTTACTGTTTTATTATAAAAATGATTCAATTCGGGAAGAGCTAGATGGAAAAGATGCCTAGGGCAAGTTGTGTGAGAAGCATCGAGGAGCTTCCATGCTCTCTGGGTGGATCACTTTCCCAGCACCTCTGGAATTGCTCTGAACCCCTTCAGTTAGGATTTTTTGGAGGCTTCTTATGTAGGCATGATTGATTCAACCATTGGCCATTAGTGATTAACTCAATCTCCAGCCCCTCTCCTTTTCCCCAGAGGCCTGGGGATGTTGCTGAAAATTCCAACCCTCCTGTCTCAGGGTTTGTTCCCCTGGCAACAGCCCTCGTCCTTAGGGATCTCCAAAAGTCATTTCATAACATAAACTCAGGTTGACAGGAGTTTGTTACGAATATCAAGACACATTCATCACTCTTATCATAGGAAATTCCTAGGGTTTTAGGACCTTTGTATCAGGAATGGAGACAAAGACCAAATATATATTTCTTACTAATAATCACAAGATCACATTAGATCATAGGACCATGCCTGATTAGTTTTATAAGAAACCGTCATTTATTTTTCCCAAAAGTATGCACCATTTTACATCCCCACAAAGTGTGTCTGAGAGTTCGGAAAGCTCTGCATCCTTGGGAACACTAGGTATTGTAAGTCTTTTTAAATTTTAGATTTTAGTCATTTTTTTGTGGGCATGTAGGTGTTTCTCACTGGTTTTAAATTACAACACTTCTGAGGACTGTTCATGTTGAGATTTTTTTCAAATTCTCATTAGCTCTACATTTCTGAATTGTCTATTCATGTATTTCCTTCCTTTTCCTCCCAAATTTAAAAATTAAGTTATAGATGTTCTCTATATGTCCTGAATACCAGTACTTGTAAAGATAATGTGTTTTGCTACTATTTTCTTCCAATCTGTGCTTTACATATTCATTTTCTTTAATTTTTTTTAAATTTTTATTTACTTAGGATAGTCACAGATAGAGAGATAGAGAGGCAGAGACACAGGCAGAGGGAGAAGCAGGCTCCATGCACCGGGAGCCCGACGTAGGATTCGATCCAGGGTCTCCAGGATCGCGCCCTGGGCCAAAGGCAGGCGCCAAACTGCTGCGCCACCCAGGGATCCCTACATATTCATTTTCTTAATGATATATTTTAATGAGTAGAATTATTACTTTTAATGAAGCCTAATCAATTTTTATCCTTATTTCTTTCTGTGAACCATTTTTAAAATGTATATGCCAAGTCACAAAAATAGTCTCCCCTCTTTCAGTGTATTGTCCTTTTACTTTGTATTTAAGTGTAGGCTCATCATGAACTGTTTTTTGTGTGCAGGAGGAAGACCTCTTCCTAGAGTGTTCGCCCATGAGATGGCCTGAGATAATGAGTGAAGTGATGTGTGACACAATTAAGACAGATGTTCTTAGAAAACAAATGTGCTTTTCCACTCTATCTTTTCCTCCCTAACATCTTGATGCAGTGAACATCATAATATTTAAAGACACTCTGAATATGGTGGGGCCGTGCTGTATAAAGACACTGAGTTCCTAAATCACCCCTTAGGAGAGTCAACTGCCAATCTGGAATTTCCATGAATCAGAAATAAACATACCATGTCTGAGTCATTATATCCATTAGGGTTTGTTCATCATGACAATGATTATTACTCGAATGTACCTTGATTCTGTTCCTCAAGGGTGGGAAGTGATGAACGTGTGTAGCTCACAGATGGGTTTTGGATATATCTTTTGGACATTAGTTGGTGATCTGAAAATAAAGACAATGAATGGTTTGACCTTCTCTTTAATGGGTGATTTTATATGTCCAGTATTATAACACCTACTTCAAAGGAGGCATCTTATTACTAGCATAAGATAGCTGAATGGAAACAGTATTATCTGAAAGTCTCTGTCACAGCTCTATGTAAATTGAAAAGATAACTTCTGATACTATTTCTTGGAAGCTGAGGCCGGGGACTTTTAGGTTGGCCATGTGTGGAGAGTTTAGCTCACATACTCCATAGTGTTGCTGCCTTAGTATCCATTTTGTTTGGTCAAGTAGACCGCAGCTACCTTAAACTGACACTAGTTGCTCATGTAAATGCAAGCCTTAGATGCCCACAGAGTCATAAGTATAAATTCCTAATCTGACTTCCAAAAGGTTCTTGTGATCAATAATCTCCCCTGCCTCCCAAGGCCTACCTCTAATGGATGCCTTAGTAAAAGACCCCTCCAGGGTTTACTAAAACCCCACTCTTTTAGTATGAATTGATCAATCTAGTTCTTGGCTCAGGTACCCCCAGAGTACTCCACCCACTGACTATAATAAAGGCATGTGTCCTACGTCCTATTGCTGTCTCTATCTGGACTTTACTTGGACCTTGGACCCATGACTGACTTGGGGCTTGATCTCATCACCATGAGATCACCAGGTAATTCCTCCAGGAGCTACAATAAACTTTTCTATTTCAGTTTCTTTTGTGGTCTGTTGTTGAAACAAAGCTCATCATCTGGCACCCTGTCCTCCTTTTAACAAGTTTTAATCTGACAAAGTCACAAAACTATAGCTATGGTGCTATTGGTTATCCCCTCTTCCTGGTGGGAAAAACATTATGGCTTGGGAAAAATTAGGTATGTTACCCTTTGATCAATTTTCCCTCCTAAGTGGTAGAACTAGCACAGTATGCAAAGTATAATTCTGCTGTTAACACCTATAATCATAAAATTAAACATTCTAAGTCAAATAATCTCTCATAACATTGTGCATACTATTACGTGAATTCTGAAACAGTATGTGTTCTAAGGTCATCAGTTCCATAGGATGCTAATAGTAATGGGAGAAAAAGAAGAAATATATATGTTTTTTAATTGAGGACTAGCTGACTTAGGCAAGTATGTTGACTCTGAAGTATACTTCTAGAAAATGAAGTATATATTTTATCCATTCATTCAATATTCATTTAATAGAATATTTTATGTATTCATACACTGTTATATAATAATGTGTGTACATATATGTATATATATGTATTCATACAATGGAATATTACTCAGCCACAAAAGGAAGGAAGTCTTGTCATTGTAACAACCTGGATAAACCTAGAGGACATTATGCTAAGTGAAAGAAGCTACACACAGAAAGATAAATACTTTATAGTCTCATATGTGGAGTCTAATAAAGTTGAACTCACAAAGCAGAGAGTAGAATGATGGCTGCCAGGGGCTACAGGGTAGGAGAAAGAGACAAATATTGGTCAAGGGTACAAACTTTCATTTATAAAATGAACCAGATCTGGGGGTCTGACATAGATGTGACGATTATAGTTATACTGGATTATGTATGTGTAAAAAAAAAAATAAGGACTTACACCTTGTCAAACCCATTAAAATCCCTCCTCACGGGAGCTTATTTGGTCTCATATAGTGATACAGTTTTGTTCACTGGCTTCACAACTCTGATGCCTCACTCCTGGACTCTATACTCCTGCCCAATGGTTATTTAACATTTCCATAAAAATGGAAAAACAAATAAACCTTTATTTGTCACTCAGTTTTACTATTCCTGAAATAAATTATGTCCAACTTTTTCTGAGACACAGCCTAAATCTATTTTTTTATATTTCTTTACTTATTTGAGAGAGAGAGAGAGAGAGAGAAAGAGCACACAGGTGTGTGTGGTGGGGGGCAGAGGGAGAACCTCAAGCAGACTCCACAGTGAGCCTGGAACCTTACTTGGGGCTCAATCTCATGACCATAAGATCACAAGCTGAACCAAAACCAGGACCCAGTCATATGTTTAACTGACTGTACCACCCAGGCACTCCAGCTAAATCTAATTTTTAAAAATAATCATGGCCTAATATCCAAGCTTAAGCCAAGACCACCGTACTTCTATGATACTGCAAGTCTCTCCAATGAGTCTTCCTGCTTCGAGTCTTGTCTCCACCACCCTTAAGAGATTACTTTTCACAATGCAGCCCCTATCCTGCAAAGTGGAGATCACATTCTCACTCCTGTTTGAATACATGTCAAAGTTCTATTTAGTTGAAAAATTTTGGACCAATCGAAGAGTATTAGTAATTCATTAAGAGACATTTTCAGTTGAGTCAAAAACAGATTAGGGAGGGAATGAACACTGAGAACATGCAAACTAATTTGATGGAATTTACTGGTGAAGGAATGGAGGAAAACGGGGTGATGTTTTGAAAGAAAAGAGGATTGGGGAGGAATTTAAGTTGAACATTTTCACAAGCGGCAGGAAGAGGCAGGTGAAAGTGAGACAGACCGGAAGTGAAAGAGAGAGGAGGAGACTGAATGAGCAAAGTCCCAGATGAGACATGAGTTGGTGGATTCTCTTATGTCTGTCTGTCCATCACTTTACACAGCAATTTATAAGATAATGGGAGAAAACTAAAATCTTTAATAGTTTTTGTTATTGGGAAATGCAGATATGCAGCTGGAATATGAATTTCCTAGTATCTGTCTCTTGAATGTAAGTGGATTTTTAAGCCCCTCAATTTCCAAATCCAATTACATGTAAAAAATGGGTTAATGCATGTGACATAATGCACATGAGTGGATCATAAATGTTATGTTGACTGATGAAATAAACTTATTCTAAGATGCCAGTATCAATTAAATGGTGCAATAGGAGAAATATTGTGGACTAATAGAAGGCATCAAAACCACTTAAATAAATGACACATTTTTGACCAGGAAAACACTGAGAACAGGTTCCGTTAGATACAGCATTAAATCAGGTACTTCCTTCCAAAGATCCAAGAAAAACAAAATAAGCATAAGATACCTAATATGGAAATGTTTTACTCTATAAGGAGAATGAACCTCTGGTTGATTAAAATACTCTTGTTTTTCCTCTCTCTTCCAAAATCACAATGCTTTCTATGGCTAAAGGGAGACAGGTTACTGTACTTTCATGGGATATAAATTGATCTCTCAACCTCTGAGTATAGTTTCAAAGCAAATCTTGGAGTGATTCATGCTGTGGATGGGAACAAAATATAATATATTGTTCAGTATGCCAAACATATTGAAACCATACTTGTCTGAAAAGAGGGGATATAATTGTACTTTAAAGTTTTAGACTAAAAAAAATAAAAAAATAAAGTTTTAGACTAGTCTTTGTATATTGACAAAAATTTTTGTCAAATTCAATAGTCTTTTTCTCATTACCTTCAAAAAAGAAATGTCATTTTAATGATTCCAGTGTAGTCTGAAATTTCACACCTGCAGTATAATGTATGCATTCAAATATAACTATCTTTCTCATAATTACCCCATCAGGCATTTGATGTTTTTAAATTTTATTTGAAAGATGTGTGTTGCAGTTCCCAAAATAAGAAGTCCTTCTACTGATAAGGCTTATATTAAAAGTTTCAGTGGCTCTACTCTAAATTATATTTGCCTCATTCTCTAGTTGACCCTTATTAAAAGTTTAATAAGAAGAATATCTTAACAGAAAAGATATTTTCCTACACTTGATTCCAATTTCACATTTTTTTTGCGAGAGATATTTCCTCACTGAATTAATCTGAGCACAAAGAGAGATGTTGTATTATAGCCAAGAAATTTAATTTGAAAAGTATGTGTATATGTCAAAAAGAAAATACACCATTTCATTTGTTTAATATAAAAATAAATATTGTAAGTTATCACATCTAGGCATGGGTCATCTTAACAATGCTTTTATAATTTATATTTTCTATCTCACTTGATAGTCACTGGTTCTAGATACCATTATTCATGTTCCAAAATAAACGGTTTTTATTAAAGCTTTTAAATTTTGAATAGGATGACTCTTTTAAAAAATTCCATTTATGCAGAAGTATCTCATTAAAACTATTTTCTCCATATAAGTGTTTTTTGGCATGATAAAACATTCTCTAAAATTAACACATGTGATTAAATTTTGCCTTTTTCAAAATTAAAAAGTTTAAAATGACTTCTAGTATTAGCAAACATGACTATAGTCAGTTATCCTGTTCTCATCCTACCCTCTAATTTTAACCTCCAACACATGCACTATTCACTTGCTGGCATGCCTCAAAAAAAAAAAAAAATCAAATATCTGACCCATCTTATCTCCCTCCATTGGTCTTAGCCTCTAACATCTCTGATCTGGATTAACTCAAGCACAGTCAAGGAATTTTCTCTTTTCTACTTTTACCTATTCTCCATCCCTAACCACATGTAGTTTAGTCTCAATAAAGTAGTCAGATCTTTGCTCAAAACCCTGTTCTGACCCCTATTTCCTTTGCAGTAAAAAGTAGAATGTCCTTTAGACATTAGAACCTACATAACCTATTTTCCCATGAATTTGCTCTCTTACATTCATCTCTGTTCTCCTGCTCCGGGCCTGCTAGCCTCCGTGTTGTATCAACCAGGCATACTCCTGCTTTTAGATTTTTGCTATAATCTTTTAGCTCTTCAAATGCTTCATATGCTTCCCTTTGACTTTGCTTAGCTATTGTCTAACTCAATTCACGCTTCTATAACAAAAATGTCATAGATCAGATGACGTATTACAATATATTTTTTTACCCACAGTTTTGGAGCTGGTAGGTCTGGAATAAGAAGCCAGCAGATGCGATGTCCGGTGAAAGTCAGTCGTCTGGTTCGTAGACAGCCATCTTCTCAATGTGCCCTCTAATGGTGAAAAGGGGCTAACTAGCATTCTAGGGTCTATTTTATAAGGTCACTAACCCCATTCGTGAGGACTCAATTCTCATGACTTATTACCTCCTAATA